CTTTGATCATTAATTTTTGTAGTTGTAACTGTTATCCATATTAAGTTTAATTTTTTTCTTAATAAAAATGACCATAAATAAAAATTATGATTATTTTATGTAACGCCTAATGATATATTTATATTTAATTATTGATTTATTATCTATGTTTTGCATTGAAATGTACTTTCGACACCCTAAAAAAATCACGTGTCAATTGAAGTTAATTATAATATGCTATAATTCAATTAAACCCGGAATACATTATATGATATATTTATTTTATAATAAGCTTTTAATATTATAACTCGTCACTTTTACNCAGGGCAGTGCAGGTGGGGGCCGCTAGGAATGCGGTTCATCCCCCTAATCGGGCTTACAATATAATAAGTTAATAACAAAGAAGCTGAACTATCCAATGGAGACAAGTTCATGAATTTGTTAATTAGCACAATTTTATCCTTAAATAAATGCCCTAAAATCAGAAAGAAACCTTCTTATTAGTGTTCCTTCCTTTAATAAATAAACCATTCTTTATCCCTTGAAAACAAAAGTTGAACCCCCAAACTTTTTTCTACTCAGCTTTTGCTTCACGTTCTCAAAATTCTCGATCACGTTTTGGACATATCGTGAAATAGTTAATTTATTTTACAATTTTTTCGCAGACTTGTACAAGCTATTGAAGTAACTCTATCCCCAACGATCCGAAAATGAAAATCTTTATAATATTCTGAACCGTTCATGAACATCACAACAAAAATGATTGAACTGGCTGGACGAAGATGGATTGAAGGTGAGATAGATTGGAGTGAAAGTGGCACAGGACCTTCGATCACTGAACCGTTCATGAACATCACAACAAAAATGATAGAACTGTCTGGACGAAGATGGATTGAAGGTGAGATAGATTGGAGCGAAAGTGGCACAGGACCTTCAATATACCATAGGACGTATTTTACATTATATTTTATGAAAATAAGTAATTTATATCGTCAAAGATAAACGAAGGATTTTATTTAATTGTTTTATTTCAAGATCTGTAAACCCGATGGATCCTTTTTGTTTCTTCGATCCTTCTAAAGTAAGAAAATAGGTTGCTAAGTAATTTCTGAATTATTTGATTGCCCCATAGTTAAAAGACTAACATCATGAAAATACAATAGAAACTTGAAATCTTAAGACGCTCTACTTGAAAGCAACATTTAATCTATAAATAATAATATTTCCGGATCATAATTCTTTACAGACTGGACCGGGCTTGAACCAGGCCTATCAAGCTGGCCCAACCATTTTGATATCCCTAAAATTTTGCAGTTCCATTTGATCAAGTGTACATATCAATTTGATAGGAATATTGAAAATTAATTTCAAATTGATTGCTCCAATCAATCTATTCATTTACAAATGAAAAATTAGATATTCCTCCAATTATGTAAAATTATAAATTTATTTGAATTTTAAATAGTAGATATATTTCGCCTCTGTTTGGTAGGCATTTTTGTGGAGAGAGAGTGCATTTTTTGGTTGATGTGGTGAGGAATATGCAGTTGAAAAAGAAGAAAAATATTATTGATGTGATGAAAAATATTATTTTATTGAAAAATGTGTGGTTGAAAATAAAAATGAAAAATATAATGTGACTCAAATAGGGCCCTCATGAATACGACGTAAAAACATATTTCCTCAATTGAAAGATCACCAACCATTTAATTAAATGAATGATGTGGATTACGACGTAGAATTGACTTGTGAAATCACTCAAAATCATTACACAGAATCGTCAAAAATTCAACAAGGCGTTCTCACTTTGGTAGGAATATATAGTTGACAAGCACGAATCTCATCATCCTCTATTCTCAAAGATTGGTCATTGCATGTTCTTCATGGTCAAGTCCCTGAATATTAGATTCCATTTGGTATGCTTTTGCAAAATTGGACTATGTGAACAACCGTATCAAATGATCCTAAATTTCCTTAAAATTGTGTACCATTAGAGTGTTCAACAAATTCGCATGTTCAAATCTTAATTTTGACATTGTTCATGTCCAAAATACGAAGCATTTCAGTAAAATTTTCGTCATTAGGATCCTTAGGTTTGGTCTCAAGGGAGTCACATAATTTCACATCATGAAAACGCAACCAACAACCAATGAAATAGTTTCATATAAATACTAAATCCCAAATAGAAATCAAATGGTTTTTACTTTGCTCATAAAAAGTGGTATATATGAAAACGAAACAACTATCAATTGCATGATTAAGGTAAGTAATGAGAACAATATCGAACATCAATTAGTGATGCTATAGTTGGATCCACTAGACCTAATGATATAGACACCTCTTCCTTCACGCCATAAAACAAAGTTTTCATATTGATCGATGCTTTGTTACCTTGTGAATCTTTGACAAAAGAAAGCAAGGGAGAAACGGGGCTATATTCTAGGGTTTCGAAGAACAAATGAGAATATACGGGTTTAGATAGTCTATCAAGCAAAAAGATTAAAACTACCTTAACCAAACAAGTAAAAATAAATATATT